ACTGGTTAGCCATCTTTTTAACTGAAGAATCATGCTTCGTTTCTAACAGAGAATTTTAAAAATATTTGACCGTGACACCGTGCCAAAAAGTTGGCTTTTTGTTCATCTTTTACTATTTTTACTATTCTGACCACACGAAGCCTTATTTTTCAATCAAATAAACAGGCTATTCATTCAATTGCATGATCTATGGTAAAAAAATTTCGGCTGCATGGATTGTATCGGGGTGCTTTCTGAGAAAAAAGCGTCTTTTACGAAATCCCTAAGGGGTTAGAGGTGAGAGACAGTGTCCCCCTGAAGAATGAAAAAGGATCTGGTAGATTTGACATACCCTTTACTAATCCCAAAACGGTTAAGTAGCCAAAAAATGCACTTTTTAAACTAAGGTTTTTTAGCTAGCGACTGTAACCCTGTTGGTCATTGTTTGATTGTCGTGACCTCCCTATCTCAGAAGGAACACTTCGTGCATAGTTCCTCCTAATTCTAAAAATTGTGCGTAACTCAACAAGGTCTGTCAACCGTGATTTCATTTCATAGCTCTGCGTAAAACCGTGCTTTAGAAATGCCGGAAAGGTGGACCCTTAAAACATTCGAAAAAAATTCACTTGTTCAAAACTTTGGTATGTAAATACTTTACTACATCCGAAAAATAATCGTTGTTCACCAAGAACGATATTGGGAATTTCTGTTCAAGCTTATAAAATCCGTAGTGCAGGTTTGTAATACAAACGTTTGGCTCAAACAAATGATATGAAAAACGTAGATTTTTGTTCAAAATGATGTTTCCAAAACAAAAACAGAAACGCACATACCAAAACCTACGTTCGCAGTCCTTTTAGCCAAGTAAAATAGAAAAGTGAAAATAAAATATATTAGAAAATAAAAAACCGTATATATAACTACCCCTTAATTTAATTTGAAAATCACTTCGGCCGATGTATATAATTTCACCAGTTTGATTATATCGTGCTAAATCTCCGGTTTTATAACATTTTCCCGCTATGCCGGGTATATTGAGTAAGGCTTGTTCAGTTAAATCATCACGATTTAAATATCCAGCAAACAATCCAGTCCCTATTATTGAGGGAGAAAAAAAACACTTTCTTAGGATCACTAGTAAAATTAACAATGACTAACTACTAATATATAATTCTGCCACCTTTCCAACCTCAACAGGTTGGAAATGCTTATCCAATATATAACAGGAATAGTTCGGTATTGGTCGACCGATTGGTATTATTGATCCATATGCGGTTAACTCTTGACGATTAAGAATATGATATGTCGAACAAATATTACATTCAGCTGGTCCGTATACATTAATAATTTTGGTTTTTGGTTGTAAATATGAAGCTAAAGTATTTATCGTTTTTGGATTTACTGCTTCTCCTACAAAAAAATCCTAGAATCACTTATTGCATTTATTATCTTCATTCCACTGATACCTGAAAAACAAAATGATCGCATTGTTTTCAATCTACCAAAATTGTTTGATTGATCCAAATATTCACATAATATAGTAGCCAGTGATGGTACTATGTCGACAAATGATACGTTTTTATCAGAAAATACCTGAGACAAGTAGTCCATTTCAAGATTTCCATTTGGATGTAACATGATCAATGTTCCACCTAAAATTGTACAACCTAGTATTTCTTTGAGATGAACATCAAATGAACATTGAGCAATCTGCAAAAAAACATCTGTATCATCCATAATAGACACTGCAACACACGAATAAATACACGATATAAAATGTTTGTGTCTAAAAGCTGCTGCTTTTGGTTTTCCTGTACTACCAGATGTAAAAAGAATATAGGCAATATCATCTGCTAAACTTTCAATATTTGCTAGTATCGATAACCTTTGATCAGAAAACCTTGTTGCTGCTTCAATTAATAATTGTTCTAAATTCAAAAACGAAACTTCAGCATTCAAAGTTTTGACGGAATTCACATTTTCTGAGTGAAATTTCGTTTGTGTTATTGAATGTAAAAGAACAAGAGTTGATTGTGTTTCTTTAATCAGCATATGTAAACGGCTTAAAGAGTCATCTGAATTCAATGGACAATAAATTCCACCTGTTGTTAATATAGCCAATATACCAATGACCATTTCAATAGAGCGCTCAACACACTGACAAATAATTTGTCCGGGCTTAACTTGTAATTCCAGAATTAAATATATAGCTATCTGTTGCACATAAAACAATGTTTCACCATACGTCAATGATTGGCCATCAAGAGCAATTGCTATTTTTTGCGGATGTTCAATAGCCTGATAAACAAATTCATGATGTATACATCGTATGTCTCCTCTACCAAAATCAACAGATGTCTGACTAATATCTTGTAATAGCTTAATCTCTTCTGGTAATAGTAATGATAATTTGTATATAGGTTGGTTTTTAAGATTAAATGATGGTAAAAATAATTGTTGTAATAGAATATGAAAACGGTTACACATTTGATCAATAGTTGACTGTTCAAATAGATCACATGGATATTCAAATATGCATGATAAGCTATTTTTGCGCTTGGTCATACGTACTAACATATCAAATTTTGCTACATTAAAGGCATTATCAAGTGGTTCACAAATAGCACCTTTTAAACATAAATCACTACTATTAACATTCTCATAAGCGAACACAATATTAAAAAATGAAGATGAGTGTTGATACTGTCGTTGTTCAATTTTATTGTTACGATGTAGTTTCAGTATTTCCTGCAGCGGTAAATGCGAATAACGTAAAATTGTTAAACATATCTGATGTATGTTTGTGTGTAAATCGTGAAATGATACATTTGGGTGATCAATTTTGAAACGATAGGGTATGGTGTTTACAAACATTCCAATTGTATTCTCAAATTCAGGACGATAACGGTTTGCATTAAATGAACCAATACAAAGATCTTCTTCATTTGTTAACTTGTACAAAAATGTATAAAAACATGTTATCGACAACTCAAACATGGTTATGTTGAACTGTTTTGCATAGTTCAACATTGCTTCAGTTATCTGGTGATTAATTTCAAATTTTACTGAAGAACCGTGACCGTTTCGTATTTCTAATAGTTTATCTGGATGATCATAGGATAGTTGTAATTGTTTATCGATCGGATAACCATCCAAGAAAATCTTCCAATATTCTCGTGCACCATCTTCGTTTTCATCTAACAACATTTGTCTTTCATTTATTGCATAGTCGATGTAGTCAAAACAGTCATCGTTCATTGAATCTTGTGGATTTTTCAAAGTAATTTGTAAATCGTTGAAAAATATGTCTCTAGAATATCCGTCAAATGCACAATGGTGAAAATTAAACAAAATAAGATCTCCATTTTCTAATACATTCTCATTTGTCATTGCTGTTGTTTTAACAATGTGGCATCTCATGACAATACCTTGCTCCAAATTAAACCATTGTCGATGTACTTCATCTTTTAATATTTCTTCTAGCTCATTTGTTGTTGAATTTATTGAACTTATTTGGAACGAATAAAGATGTTCAGTGTCACTGTCACTGAACATTGGCTTTATGCGTTGTTCTAAACATTCACTATCTGCATTGTATTTTAACGATGTACGCAAGGTCTTATGTCTGTTGATAATTGATAACAGCGCTGAACGTAATTGGCTAATTAATATTAGCGTACCACTATTTGATTTAATTTTTAGTGCAATCGATATGTTATATATAGACAACATATTCCCTTCATTAAACCTTATTCGTTCATCCAACCAAATTCGTTCTTGTGCTAATGATGCTTGAGCTGAAATGATACAAATGCCAATGTTACTTTTATTCAGATATAATATCCTCAAAACCTTACTAGTTATACTAATACTACTACTTAATACTAGTTATTTTCTTTCATTTTGTACTTTCAAAATATCGTTAGTGAACAACAAAGGCAGGGCTAATTTATTTGTTTCGATGCATTTTCGCATAATTTTAACTTTTTCAAAAAGTTATGGTAGTAAAGGATGTGGTCCTAACAGATTGCAGGTTATTATTATTAATTAAACTGAGAGAAAATATTCATAACAGGATAAACAGCTTCTTTGGCATGTTTACATTAAAATACATTTATAATACGCAATTTATGGCTCAAAATAAATTGCTGATCTTAGTTTATAAAAGTACTTTAGAGGTTGCTCTTTTGAAAAAGGAATTTTTTTCTAATATGAAATAATTTCTGCGGGATACAATACATTCAGCTTCTATTCTCGGATTGATTCCTTAACTGAAAATACTTCTAAAGCCTCACGATCAAAAGATACCTTGAGTAACTTTGAACGATTTCCATGATTTTTCTATTGGTTCTAAATGGAGATTTTTCTGAATAAGTTGAACATGTTCCTGAACAGTTGACTGTTGTAATAAATGTGATATGTTCAACTTTGTATTTGGAATAAACTTTGAGTAATAGTTCATCAGTTTCATTATCAACAGAGAATTACCACCCAGTGAATAGAAATTGGCATTCATCGAAATTTTATCCAAATTTAATACTTTACACCAAAGATCATGTATCTCTTTGTCGAATTCTGTTTTCGGTTCAACATATTCATGTTCATTATTCAGTTGTGTAAAGTCAAC